AAGTCCACTGACAGATGACTGGATTAAGAAGATGTGTGTGTGTGTGTATATATATATATATATATATATATATAATGGAGTACTACTTAACCATAAAAAAGAATGAAATAATGCCATTTGTAGCAAATTGGATGGACCTAGAGATTATCATACTAAGTGAAATCAGACAAAGACAAATATATATCACTTATATGTGGAGTCTAAAAAATGATACAAGTGAACTTATTTACAAAACAGAAACAGACTCACAGACATTTAAAACAAACTTATAGTTACTGAAGGGGAATGGGAAGGGAGGGAATAAATTAGGAGTTTGGGATTAGCAGATACAAACTACTCTATATAAGATAGATAAACAACAAGGTCCTACTGCACAGCACAGGGAACTATATTCAATATCTTGTAATAACCTATAATGAAAAGAATATGAAAAAAATATATGTATAACTGAATCACCATACTGTACACCAGAAACTAATACAACAATGTAAACCAACCATACTTCAATAAAAAAAAGTTTTAACAACCCAATGATAAATAAAAACCCCAATTAAAAATTGGGTAAAAATCTGAAGAGATATTTCTCTGAAGAAGACAAACAAATTATTAGTAAGCACATGAAAAGAGGTGCAACATCATTAGCCACCTGGAAAATGTCAGTCAAAACCACAATCAGGTACCACTTTATCTCCACTTGGATTGTATTATTCAAAAAGATGGTAGTAGTAAGTGTTGACAAGGATGTGGAGAAATTTGGATCCTTATACATTGCCGGTGGAGACATAAATGGTGCAGCCACTTTGGGAACCTGTTTGGCAGTGCCTCAAAAGGTAAATCATGAGGTTACCGTTTGACTAGCAAATCTACTCCTAGGTATATACCCAAGAGAAATAAAAACATATGTCCAAACTAAAATGTGTACATACTCACATACACACACACACACAAACACATTAATTTGTATACAAATGTTCGTAACAGCATTATTCATCAGAACCGCAAATTGGAAACAACCTAGATGTTTATCAACAGATAAATGGATAAACAAAATACAATATATCCATACAATGAAATATTTTTCATCAATCAAAAGAATGAAATACTGATACATGCTACAATATGGATGAAATTTGGAAACATTCTAAGTGAAAGAAGCCAGTCACAAAGGACCACCTATCAAATGGTTCCATTTATATGAAATGTTAAAATAGGAAAATCTATAGAGACATAAAGTAGATTCGTTTTTGCCTAATCTAAGGCAAAATTTCCCTCCCTACGGAGGGAAACTTGAGGAGATGAGGAGGGGCTGCTAATGTGTGCAAGTTTCTTCTTGATGTGATGAAAATATAAAATTGATTGTGTTGATGTTTACACAACTTGAATATATTAAAAACAATTCAACTGTATACTTTAAATGAGTGAATTTTATGTGAATTATATTACAATGTGACTGGAATTCTATCTCTATCTCTATCTATCTATCTATCTATCTATCTATCTATCTATCTATCTATCTATCTATCTATGTAATCTAATTTATGGGGGGGGGGAGACAGAGGCCAAGGGAAATGATGTGATTTTATCCAAAGTGAGATCTCAGTTCTCTGAACCCAGTGGTCACTTTCCACTATGTCACATCAATTCTTTTCTCTCTCTCTTTTTAAAATCTCTCAGGTAGCTTTGATGAGATAGTGGCATAAATCACTTGAGCCCTTCTCTTTACTACATGTTGATTATCCTTAACCTTTTAGGGACTTCATGTATTTATCTGTCAAGTGAAGATAACATTTTCTGCCCTACCTACATCATAGAGATATCAGAGGCTCATAAGAAAGGAGAAAGCAGTTTGAAAAGTATAAGGTTTTAGTATGTTAGAAGGTTTTCCATTCCCTCTGGCTGTCCCTTCATGCCATGCACATCTCAAAAGGGAAGTATTTCCTCCAACAAAATTGCATAAAGA